ACGAACGACAACACGACGTGACGATCTTGGTTGACACGGTTAGGCCGCATGCGACCTGTGATTGGTCAAAATACCATGCACCCGATACCATTTGATTGGATCAAATTCCAAAATATTGCCATGTGCACCGACGAGGCTGCGCCACTGCCGTCGCTCGTCGCCCGCCGGGCCATCGTGCTCTTCCTCGCCGACGATGGCGCCGAGCATGCGACCAAGTCGACCGCGTTCCTCGACCATGTGGCGCGCCATGGCTGCAGTGCGGGCGTCGCAGCGTCGTCCGGTAGCCCTGCCCATGGCCACGTCGACTTGATAGCCACTGCGTAGACGACGACGCGGACAGCGAGGCCGTGGTCGAGGACGCCGCGCTTCGTAGCTTCCTTGGTCTTGCCGACGCCGGCGCGAGCCCCTCTCTGTGCGTATTTTCCTGACACGGGCGTGCCTACTAGCATCGTCGTCCTGTAGGAAGCAGTACCATGTGCCCCATGTGCTCTTGACAACCAAGGCGAGCATCTCGCCCGAGGTGCATGACGGCGCGCTGTGCGAGCACGTGGCCTTGGACGACCTGCCCGCCCGCACGCGCGCCGCGGCGAGCGAGCCCACGCGGAACCTCACGCTGGTGTACATGGACCGTGCCGACTACACCCGTACGCCACACCTCTGCGATGCCAGGCCGGTGACGTGTCTGCTGTAGCGGCGCTGGATGCAACGTTGCTAGCGCTCGTGCAGGAGCAGCCAACGACGTTCTTTGGTGTGCTTCAGGAAACGCCGACGCTGACCTTGCCGTCGGACCGGAGGTTGGAAGCCCGCACGCTCTTCCCGCTGCCCAAGCAGAGCTGGGCCAAGGTGCACAACACGTACCGCACCGACGCTCTCGAGAGGTAGACACTATCCTTTTGCTGTTTCAGTTTGCGCATCTTGTATCTGTAGCCAGCGTGCGCTCGTGTATTGCTTCTACGCCCACGACCAAGTCCGCCCCGACACGCTCGAGCGCTTTGAGCCGTCGACGATGCTCGCGCATGGCGGCTACGGCATCTTGCAGGCCCACGCGGCGCTCAAGGAAATTGCATTTCGTCTCGGCTTTGCGCCCAAGTACGGCGCGTAGAGAGTCTCGCTCCATCATCAACATGGTGGCATGATTGCATGGCCCAACTACATTTATGGCAAATAATGACGGGCGGTGACATGCAGGACGACGTCGGCGGGACGATACCTGCTGCCTGAACGTCAACACGTCCGCATCTCGGACTGGTCGGCGAGGGTTGGGGTTACGTTTGGACGGGAAAGGACACGCCGCCGCGTCACAACGACACCAACGGCAGCGATTCGCCGTGCTCGTTGCAGAAATCGTGCGCGTGTACATCCCGTCGCTGCCTCCATCCACCTGTGTATGCCACCGTCGCATAGCCATGCTGCTGCACCGTCATTTTGCATAGAGACGCGACCAGTATATCGAAGATTTAGAAACAGCTCGGCGGCCACTGCGCAAGTGCCCTCAAAATGCCAAGTACCAAGCTCTCGGGCGGCCAGTCGGTGGCCGCTGGCGTCTTTGCCGGCTGCGTCACCCGCTCCTGCACGTCGCCCATGGACGTGCTCAAGATTCGGCTCCAAGCGACTTCGACGACACGAGCGCGTCCGTCCTGGCGCCATGCCGTAGCCACGCTGCGTACCACGTGCCTGGACATTTACGCGACAGCTGGCGTTGCGGGGCTCTGGCGGGGCAACCTCGCCGGCTGTCTTCGCCTTGGCCCGTACTGCGGCATCAAATTCTGCGTCTACGACGCACTGCACGACTCGCAGCATTCTCGGAGCGGTGCGGTCGACGGTGCCATCGCGGGCATGCTGGCTACCATGGCCGTATACCCGATGGAGGTCGTCCGCACGCGGCTCATCATTTTGGCGCCGACGCGAAGCATTGGCAGCAGCCTCTATGAGCTCTACGCCCGCGAGGGCCTCCGTGGTTTGTATCGGGGTGGCCTCACGGGCGTCGTCGGGGCGATTCCATTTGAAGGCCTCCAGTTTGCTTGCTACGAGTTTGGCAAAGGGTACGCTACGGCCCACCACTGGCCGGCGTGGCGCTGGACGCCGACCAAGGCCGAGCTGAGCCATATCGATATCCTGGTCACGGGGAGTCTCTCAGGCATCGTTGCACAGCTTGCCGCGTATCCGTTTGATACAATCAAGAAGCGGCTGCAAGCTCAAGACCTGGGCCCGTCGCGGCAATACGCAGGGCTTGTCGACTGCGCGCGCCGGATCGTGGCCGACGAAGGCGTCGGAGCGCTCTACCGCGGGTCGCTACCCAACCTCCTGCGCATTGGACCGTACGCCGCCATCATGTTTGCTTCGTACGAAGCGGCCAAGGCGTACTTGACCACGGAGCATGGCCGCCATCACCCAGTGTCCACGCTCTAGAGTCGGCTTAAGCTACTATATCCCTCTATAGAGTCGGCTCAACTACTATATCCCTCTAAATTTATTGCATTCTCATTGTCTGTGTCACTGTTCTGCCTGATGGACAAGCTCACGCAGCCGCTCGTTCAGCATTGCCTTCTCGACAACGTTCAGACGTCGTTCGCCTGCAAGGGTCTCCTGCCCGCAAGCGCTTTGAGAACGGAAGAAGATTGCGCGATGCGCCGTCGTTGTAGCACTATGAAAACGTGACCACTGGGGGCATCTGCACTCGTTCTTTCTAGCTAGGCAGTCGGCACCGTCCCGTGCAGCACGACCAGTGGTTTTAACTCGCGTCATCCAAAGACGATGCAAGGTTCCGAAGTCGACTCGTAGACCGCAGATTAAAGCGGCAAGCGGTATCTATGCCATGCACGTTGCAGTTGCGACACCATCTGGTGCTGTCGCGAGAAGAAGAATCCTGATCGAGCAGTACATAGATCCGTCGACGTCGGACGATCTGTGCGCACCCACTCGACGAATGTACTAGCAGCCGTCGCAGTACTAGTACGCTAGTATACTAGTACGCTAGTACACTGATAACCCTTTCGGCTTCAGCAATGAAAACTCGTCCACCCGCTCCTGTGCTAAACGTGGTAGCGCTGCCGATCATTACTCTGCCGCTTTAGGTGAATCTCGGCAGCTCGTAAGCTCAACAAATAGCCGAGTTGCCGCGTGCAGTGCGCGTGGGATGGATACAGTAGTTGCTCGAGCAGGCCGCGAGAGAACGAGCAGTACGGTAGGATCCAACCGTGACCAGATCGAGTGCATTTCTGTTGCGGCGTCGGGGGTCGTGACGCGCAGCTGCCGACCGATCGCTTCGAACGCTGTGCCGCTGGCGCCATCTGCGCTCGACCGGTCAAGCTCCGAAGGAGCTCCATGACGCACGAAACCGATACGGCGTTTAAATTACGCGTCGCTGATTGGCTACTCAAAACCATCTGGCAGCTCGTGGCCGCAGCGCCCATGGCTCAGTTTGCCCTTTGCCTTGTCCGGATCGCATGGCCGCCAACGCGTCGAGTGGCCTCGAGTCGATCATGGCCGGTGCCTTTGCGGGCTGCGTCACGCGCTCGGCAACGTCGCCCTTGGATGTGCTCAAGATCATCTTTCAAGTCCAAGGCGCGTCGCTTCGCCACGTCATTGAGCGCCTCTATACGACCGAGGGCGTCCGTGGCTTCTGGAAGGGCAACCTCGCCGGCTGTTGCCGCCTCGGGCCGTACTCGGGCGTCAAGTTTTACATCTTTGACTCGCTCCAGTCGTCGTTCAGCGAGACGGGCCATCGCCCGAGCAATCTGCACCGCGCGACCTTTGGCGCGATCGCCGGCATGATTGCGACCGTGAGTGTGTACCCGATGGAGGTCGTCCGCACGCGCATCATCGTCCAACGCGCGAACGACGGTCCGCACCGCATTGCTAGTGTGCTCAAGCAAATCCACGCTGTCGAGGGGCTTCGCGGTCTGTACCGCGGCGGCTTGTCGGGGCTCGTGGGTTCGATTCCGTTCGAGGGCGTCCAGTTTGCGTGCTACGAGTACTGCAAGAGCTACTTGCACGCGTCGCGCGACACGCTGCACACGACCGACTACCTCGGCATCGGGAGTCTCTCGGGCGCGGTGGCGCAAACCATCTCGTACCCGTTCGACAGCGTCAAGAAGCGGCTCCAGGCCCAGGAGCTCGGCCAGAAGCGCTACAACGGGATGCTCGACTGCTTCCGCAAGGTGGTCGCGGAGGAAGGGGCGATGGCGCTCTTCCGAGGCACGTTGCCCAACATGGTGCGCATCGTGCCGTACTCGGCCGTCATGTTTACGACGTACGAAGCCGCCAAGAAATTTCTGATCGACAGCGCGTGATGGTTTGTAGTTTTGCTTTTGTGTTATGTACCATTTTCTGTACCAGTACCAACTAAATTATATCTCTGGTCATCGGCGATTCCTTGCGTTAGCGCTGAAGTTGTACAAGAGTGTAGATGTGCAGGGCGAGAGGTTGGAAAGGACTACTAAGGAGCTATCAAGCATGTTTTAGCTGCTTGACGCGCTCGCCAGCGCAGGGCCCACGTTCCAACGATTGTATTTCCAGTTACACTAGATAGAGCGCTTCTTGGGTAGACCTCCCTGTGCATTTTGGTATGGGCTGGAGCCTCTCGACAACGTCTTTCATCGGAAGAAGAAATATCGCGTCAGCTTTCATGTTCAAGCACGAGGTCGACTCGAGAAGCGCAGCTCAGAAACTAGACGCTGGGCAAGCTCGATCAGATCACATTGGGGCCTTCACGTAAAGTCAGCCGCGGGAGACACATCTATATTTTTCAAAAATGCACGAATCATCCAGGCTGCTCCTACGAATTGTTTCTCGATGAGGCAGCTGCTTGGTGTCTAGCTTGACGACCCGTATCCACATTTCCTTGAAGTCGCGCGACTGACGAGCTATGCCAGCCGGAGGCAATGCCATGGTGTACCACCGCGTCATGGCTTGAAGATCCATGTCATAAGATGCCACGTGGCACCCGGACTGATCACGACGTTGCGGCCGGACCAATCAAAACGCAGTATTAAGATCGGGTCGCATTCTGAGCCTCGATACTGGTTCACGCCAGACGACACTGAATGCTATTAGCATGGATCATGCCCTTCATAAAACCTTGTTTTCTATTCGACTTTTCAGCAGGAAAAACCGTGCAAGGGAGCACCTTCTCGAAACCTCCGCATCTAAAGATGGACCTTCCACCGTGGCAAGCATAGCCAGGCGGGGATGCGCAAGATATCGTTTCGACCAGTCTCTCCGACTGCCCCACGCATTCCTGGACCGGAGTCGACAAACAGCTACACTCGACAAGGCATAGTTTGGTCGAGAGGAATCTGCTTGTTTCCGATGCTGCATTGCTGCGAGCCCTCCCAATGCAGGCTTGCGCTCGGCTAATGGAGCTTCTAGAACGGGCAACGCCGATTGTGATTGGCTGCGATTCTTGTTGAAGTTGAGCATTTGAATAGATCGCTTGCACGGGATAGGCCGTTTGTTTGCTTGCAAGTGTATGCATGCAAATGCTCGTACGACGACGAAATCGCTGCCATGCGATTGGTCGATTTTACATCACTGTCGCCTCGCGTTGTCGCCATCGACAAGCTCACTTTGCCTTTGGATTGTATCTGACATGTCGACGACATCGTCCAACGTCAATGGCCTCCGCTCGGTCGTCGCCGGCGCCGTTGCCGGCTGCGTCACCCGCTCGTGCACGTCGCCCTTGGATGTGCTCAAGAT